AATACAACCTTTTTGTATAAAACATTTTTACCTAGGATGTAACGCTTACGTTCTATGAGCCGAAAAGTGCTTGTAAAATGAATAAAAAGTCGTTTTTCCCTATCCAACTTTCTTGTTTTGCACTTGAGATAATAAGCTAAACTTAATAGTTAAAGGTCTCGTTGAATTACAACTTTTTTGTATTCAATAAATTTAGTTATAATATTAAACTTGGGCTCTAAATCGCAAGAATGCCAAAAGTTTGTAAATTAATCGTTTTCCCCTATCTAACTTACTCATTTTCTTTATTTACATTTCAGATTACAAAGTTAACGTAAAACTCATAGATCTTCAAAAATATAAGCTTTTTTCAACTAAAATTTATGATTGTAAGATGAAATTAACGCCATAAATCGCAAAAAACGATATAATACTAGCTTGTTCAGAATACATACAATTGACACTCAATGCAAAATTAAGGGTGATAGTTATTGTGTTCTCAGGCTTCCTTTTTTTCATCCCGCAAGAATGTGTACATTTTTTTACCAACCCTACACCAAATAGTACCAACTTTTTACACATACTTTTTACTAATAACAGTTATATATGCCCTCGTATCAGTCGTGCCTTAAATACAAAAATGTAATTTTTGCTTAAATTTAACCACTTGTTTTTTTTTATACAACCCATTCCATTAGTAAAATTTTTAATAAAAAAAAAAATTACTACATTTCTTTGTACTAAGAATAAAAGTAAAAATATACAAAAGGTCCAGTACAGTGAGTTGCGGTGAAAAATAAGCTTACTCTAGCGTGAAAAATCTTCTTTCTTAATAAACATGCACTTGTTAGTCGTTTATTAGTATATTACTCAACAAGTTTGATTTCAGTAGAGTAAAAAAATAAAAAATAAATATATTTCTTTGTTTTGAGAATAAAAGTAAAAATATACGAAAGGTCCAGTACAGTGAGTTACGGTAAAAAATAAGCGTAGTCCAGCGTGAAAATTCTTCTTTCTTAGTAAACATGCACTTGTTATTTGTTTATTAGTATACCACTCAACAATTTTAGTTTCAGTGAAAGAAACATTTAATAATTTGATATATTTTGTCTTTGAGTTAGATCGTTTTATTTAATAATTGTTTGGAATCCTAATAAAAATTGTATACGAAGAAATATTAGAAAATACAAATTCTATCATTATCCATGTAACCCGTGTAGTTATGTAAATGTTCTATAGTGTGTATAGTAGTAATTTTAGAATTCCCATACACTATCTACATAACATTATGATTTACTAACTTAATGTTTATTTGTTCATAATTATATTGTACTTAAAGTTTGTTATCGTAATAAAATGAAAAAAGGTATTAAAAAGTTTACTTTTATTAAATTATGAACGTAGTACCAGAACTAACACCACGCCTATAGTATTTTGATTCAAGAAACTTATACATACAACAGTAGACCAAAAAAGTCTTGTATTGTTTTTACGTGTAAAATTCCTTACTTTATTTTGTAACTTGATCTAAAGGTTACAATATTACTCACTTGTATTAATGTACATAGTGCTATTGTGAGGCCAATCTTTACGGTCAGTATTTTCTTAGATGTTGTAGAAGTGTTGTGTACGTTAACGTTTACATTTGAATTACAATGTATAAGGAATAATACAGCATTTACCGTATATATTTTAGAAATATCTTGTGTAGGTACATTTAATGCGTTGTTTGTAAGCTGATTTTCAAATAGTATAAATTTGAAGCTTTTTGATCAATCATTTTTAATGATTGCCAGTTGTAAGTTTGCATACACATAGTATATATTCTTGAAACTTGAAACAACCATAATTCAAATGATGGCAATCAAAAAGTCTATTTAACATAAGCATAAATAAAATACAAACCTACTGTTGAAGAAAAAAAAAATTTATCAATCAGTAAATTTTTTTTTTAACTACTGTACTATGATGACATTAAATGTGTCAGTAGATCAACATCAAGTTTAATGCGATACAAAACTTTTATAATGTTAAATTTTTTATTTTTACATTTTTAAATTTTTTCAGATTTATAATTTCCGTTGGAGAAAACTCAATGACAATTAAATGTGTGGCTTGTCATATTCAAATCGAACATTTCATTGGAGGTACAAAAAAAATATTGGATACAGAAGAACTGGCAAATCAGTTCTCCGATTATTTAAAAAAAAATATTGTGATTAATGATTTGATTAGCCCAAAATGTAATAAGGGAGACCGGGGTAATCGTGGCCACCTAGGTAAACAGGCCACTGGATATATTCAACCATTTAATTGAGATAAAAATGGAATATATTTTTTTTTTATTGAAATATATCTCTACTTACATGCCGTCAATAAAATAAAACCATAGAATGACTTTTTGTTAAATTTTTAAATAATTAAATTTGATAGTTAAAAAATTTGGAGGAACAGCTACATTATTAAACTTGCTTAAAGCGGAAAATACATCGAATCGATTCAAAATTGACACAAATTAAAAGTTTGAACCTCAATCTACAATCTGCTTTTTTTTATTTTACCAAATATTATTTAGAAATATAATTATAAGTAATTTAAAATAGTCCTATTTTGGGGTGTGGTGGCCATCTCTCCGGGGTACAGTGGCCATCGAGTTTGTTGTTTACGTCAATACTGAGTCAGTCTGCTAATCTGCGGATACTAACCTAAACTTTTTAATCGTACTTATAGCCAAAACAAAACAAACAGTGTCAGGTGAAAGTTATGTAGTACTTAAGTAATTAGTCATATTTTAAGTCAATTCGGTATTACAGGAGCAATAAAAATAAGTCATGGTGCGTAAGTATAAGAGAAAAACTGTGGATAAAGGTTGGAATGAATTCCAATTGCAATTTTCAATTGAAAATGTGCTTGGTGGTACCTCTTGTAAAGCTGAGGCAAAGAAGTCAGGCATCCCAAGAACGACTTTGAGAAGGAGAATTACAATAGCTGCGAAAAATGCTGATGAAGCAGAGAAAATAAATAAGTCTGCAGGTTATAGTCGTACTTTTGATGACGAGCTAGAAAAAGCTTTAGCAAATTACATTGAAGAAATGGAATGTAAATTCATGGGCTTGAACTCGACTGATGTAAGAAGACTGGTTTTCGATTTTGCTGTGAAATTTGTAAACGATAGACTGATAGATTAAGAAGTCAATAAATTAATAAGAAAGTTTAAAAAACATCGTAATTATTTTTCACTCAGTTTCTACAACGATATACCGAAAAATATATATTTCTCTTTATTCTATGTGTATACTGACAGAAAAATATTTATGTCGATATACATATTTATTTATCGATCTGTTATATAAGTAATTATTAATTTACATAAATTTTCAATTTTTGGACGTAAGTTCAGTAGCAACATTTAAAAAAACCATTCAAATCAATGGCCACTGTACCTCGGGGTATGGCCACCTCTACCCCGGCCCTGGGTAAAATGGCCAGTTTAAGACGCATTCACTTTTTCGTATTTAAACTACATTTATTTTAAATAAATAACTCAACAAATTGGATACTATTTCTACACATCCGGCCCCTTTTATTTGCGTTTTTTAAATTATTCTACAATCAAGTAGTCGTTCATAATAACGTGATAAAGTTAGGGTAGCCAGACTACCCCGGTCTCCCTTATGTTTTTTTTTCTTAAAATTATCTAAGCGAATAAAACTAGAAATGGATCAAAGTCGACCAAATCATAGTAATCTTGTAAGTTAAGAATGTGAGCGTAGTTCATCGTCTCAACAGTAAAGTTGCAGCGATGGTTCGGTACATGCTTCTCCCGTTTCAAAACAGTCTAAAGAAGTTGAAAAAGTAGAACTACCATTTCCAAGACCAATTGTAACTCATTCATACTGATTTATATGTGAGAAATATTATAATTTAATATAAGTACCATTGATTGCTCGAAAACAAGTTTTTTTTTAAGCAAGGATATACATTTCCGAAGGTAATCGCTGTTGCAACGATCACATTTTCAATAAAAAGTTTTGTGAGGATGAAATTCGTATAATAAAAGTTATATTGAGTGCATATTCAGTTGCAGTACATGATTTATTAACGATGTTAGAGTCGATGTGCGTGTCAGCTGACCAAGAACTCACAGATAAGATTGTCGATTTCACATTTTTGGAAGAGCGAATTAAAGCATTCACTGGTCTTAGTTGAAAAAATGTGATTCAATGGCACGACATGTTTATTAACATGAGAGACTCTGAATGCCGAAACGTTGCTCAAGCTTTGGTCGCTTCTTTATTCAAATTAAGAAATGGCAACTCGAACAATCTTATTTCATCTATTTTTGGGCTTGAATGACCACACGTTTCCGACTTCTGTGCTTCTATCTTAAAAACTTTTGAAAAAAATGTATAAGCGAAAAATTTTGGGCTAAAATCTGTTTGTAGAAGTGATCTCATTAATAATCACACAGTAATTAATGTTAGAAAAGGGTATGATATCGGTAGTGATAAACTTAATTCAATCGCAGGTGGTACTCACCTAAGACACGAGAAAAGCACTAACAACGAATATCAAAGAAAATCGTATTCTAGTAAATAAAAAAACTTATTTTGTCAAGCTTTTTACAATCTGTACAACAGATGGATGTATCGTTGACGTGCTTGGACTTTCGTAGCGAATAAAAATGATGCTGATATTCTTAGAAGTGAAATGGAAAACAATAAAAGTCTTAAGAACTTATTGCAAAAGGGTGATATTTTAATTATAAACCGCGGCTTTCGAGATATTGTAAATCATTTACAATCGAAAGGCTTTAATGTATTAATACCATCGCTAAAAGGCCAAAGAAAACAACTTACGACAGCTGAAGCAAATTATTAACGTGTAGTAACCATGTTTCGACTGGTAGTAGAAGCAGTTCATGGTGTAATAAGTCAGAAGTGGAAGTTTGTCCATAACCAATTTGATAATAAAATGCTACCTGATGTAAAAACTTACTGTCAAATAGTGGATTTTTTAAATAACTTATTTTGTCCGAGATTTCATGAAAATACATTAATTACAAGTAAAGTGTTATTGCAAGTAGAATGTCACAAAAACAAAGAAAATACGTTAGCTGAGGAAGCAGAATCAGGAAGATAGAGACGTAGAAAAAGTAAATTTTTAAAATTGCAGTCTCGTGATTTTGAAGATTTTCCAGAAATGTCCAACAGAGATTTAAAAATATTATTTACAGGAACTCACCGGTTACACCAAGCAGTATTATATCCGGCAGAAATCATAGATAAAAATAATGAAATAATTTTNAAGTAAAATGTCACAATAACAAAGAAAATACGTTAGCTGAGGAAGCAGAATCAGGAAGATAGAGACGTAGAAAAAGTAAATTTTTAAAATTGCAGTTTCGTGACTTTGAAGATTTTCCAGAAATGATCGAAAGAGATTTAAAAATATTATTTACAGGAACTCACCGGTTACACCAAGCAGTATTATATCCGGCAGAAATCATAGATAAAAATAATGAAATAATTATTGAATACTTAAGAGACACCTACACTTGTCAAGTTTAAATTTTGATCGCGACACATCTTCAAGAAGACATACAATTACTTTATTGACTACATACCACGTACTATTGGGTACATTGCAATACAGAGATACTGCTGTAAGTGTGCAAACGGCATGAGAACAATCGGCTATTGTTCTCACGTGGCATCAATTATCTACTACTTAGCATATGCGAGATATCAGTCTAAAATAATTAGACCAGCTGAAAAACTGTTACAAATTTTTCTTCAACATTATGGAATACCTGTTATTAACGACGACAGTGACAAAGATTAGAATATGTTCTTTAATTATTTACATCTTTATTTTAAGTACTTTTTTATTCAGAAAATTAGATGTATAACTAGTTAAACAAAAGTGTGATATTAGATGTAATTAGTCGTCATTTTAATGAATAATGAAACTCTTTTTTTCTAAACTATGTAAGACATATTTTATGTTTGTCTTAATTTTAAAAAATTCTGTAATAAATTTTTCATATTTTTTTTTGGACTTTTATTTGCTACTGAGAAATTTCTAAAAAGTTAAAAAGTTAATGCGTTCTTAAAAGTAAAAAACTTTAATTAAATTACTTATTACTATATGCCAAAGCGTCACAAGTTTAACAAATTGGGTTTGTGATAATTTTTCCGCATCATCTTCATTTTTATGAATGGTACTAATTTTTTTAAAAACTTTTTTATGAAAATATACAAAAAGTTAACATCATTCATAGTATTCTTAAGTATAAATAAGTTTAGTAAAGTGCCAAAAAATGATATATCAATTTTTCCTATAGTTTATTTGAGACGTATTGAAGCTATTTTAGCGAAAAATGGGTGAAAAAACGGATTTAATTTTTTCATTTAGGTTGCCAAGTCATAAAAAATCTTGAAAAGCTTATAGCAATAGAATATTATATAATTTAATCTAGAGATTTTTTTGGAGTCTGTACTGACAAAACTCTTAGAAGTACGCAATTTTAGAAATTTCGATCGTTTCCCAAAATTTGAATTTGGCATTAAAAATTTTGTTAAAATTTTAGTGAATATAAATTATTTTCGTCTTTAACTTCTAATAAGAATTTTTGATATCGGTTGAGAAATAGTGAAGATATCTTTAAAGAACTGAATTTCATTATTTGGGGCCTATAGCGAACCTATGAGTAGATTAGTGTCTGGAAAAATTTTCAAAAAATGTTTTTACAGTACACTACACACATGAATTCTTCCAGATTTTTCAGGGCTAAGGCAGTTTTAGCCCCCTATCCGTAATCTAAAGTGCCTTAAGATAGCTTTGTTGATAGTATCTGTCTTTTTAACAGTTCTACAACTGGCAGTTATGGCCGCATTTTCCACACATCAAGTAATCTACAGTTCTTAATCAAGTTTCCAAAGCAAGAGTGTATGGGGTGTGACATGGTCAAATTTTCAGTACATGGTGAATCGTTTTCAATAATTTCCTCTTGCCCGACATTTTTACCGATGTTGCCGTCTTCCCTTGTAGCTTTGTTTCTTGGTATTATACCGAGGTTCGTCCGAGCCATTCGTCAATAGATACGAAAACTTTTTGACAACCTGATTTTTATCTTTGTTTCAAGTGCTTACTTTAACAAGTCAGAGATTTGGAGTTAATCAAGTTATTTAACGTCAGATCATTAATATTATTCTTTCTACCAACAACCGTGCTTTCTCGTTTATTTAATTTTGCCTTTTTGATTGCGATTCAAATTTATAACTACCAGCCGAGAATTAACTAAATGATCAGTCG